ACTGCGCCGTAGTGAAGAACGCCGTCGCGAAAGTCGGGGGAACCAGGTACCAAGCTGTAACCGTGTGGAAGGAATAATCGCATAAAGCTCACAAGCAGCTTGGATTCTGACCGTTCCTTCCGTCCATAGGTGTCGACTTTACTTGTGAACCAAGCAAACCACACAGACACCAAAGTTCTTGCGCCGCCAAGGCGCTTTCGCCCCCCCCCGTGTTCGCGTCGCCGTTGTTTGGATCCAACGTCGCGTGGGGGCGTGGTGTGGGTGTAGCAACAAGCGTTGGTCTAAATGTACTGGTGGCTGGTGCAGGTAAATACGCTTCGATTTCTCGCACACGTTGCATCAACTGTTTATTCATCTCAACCAATTGTTCGATCACCATATCTTGATGGGTTGTTGCGGCAGGACGTGTATTGGACGAGGCAGTCGCGGGAATGTAGGGGTCCGTGCCATTCAGTACACCATTCAGTCCTTGCTGAGCCCTGTGTAGATGCACTGACCAAGCAACGACTTCAGCGACTTCAACTCCCGACAACGACGCGGCTGTCTCGATGGAGCTGATGATGGGTGCCGTAGGGTTTGCCGATTTCAACTGTGGGTACGCCCGAATTAGTGCCGCCGTGATAACATCTAGGGTGATAGGGCACACGACAAACGACGGATCCTGCAATCCACTGCAGCCACTGAAGAGTTGATCGCGGACGGCACAAACGCGCGAACGAGTGTCTGAATCAAATGATGACAGGTCAGCCAACGAAATGTTGTCTCTTGCAGGCCAACCACTCAATACTCGGGCAACCATTTGATCTTCCTTTGTAGTGTTGAACACGTACGCGAATCCCTTGTTTGTTGACGACATGTCCCACGAGCCGCGGTCGAAAATCCATGATTGGCTCAGGTCGCTGTTGCTGTTTGCTTCTTGTGCTCCTCCACGGCGGAACGAGTGCGAACTCAGTTTGTTGTGGACGCCAGCTGGTTTAGAGATTCGATCCAAAAGGCAATTCACGTACGTATAAACGCCAGGCACACGTTGGCCGCCTGGGGTGTGTTTCGTTGCTCCAGGACTGGTTGTTTGGTGTAGGAGGTTCCCACGCCATCGCCAATGTAGGAAGTTGCCACGCCGTCACGATTATCGGACACGTCGTCGCCACACTGTCCAAGATGACCATCAATGGTACTGCCGTGTCCAAAGATGGCAAATCCTTTTGACTGAACTTTGGTAGGTAGCCAAATAACGATGCTTGGGGCGTCGTATCCATTGCCAACCACGCACCCAACGCGACAATCGGACAGGTAAACACTGAATTGTCGTGGAATATCGACAATCCTTGTTCTTCCGATGTCTTGACACGAATTAGTTTCAGGAACATGACGTTCCGTGGCCCCATGGAGAAATTCAGCAACAACAGATCCGATGCACGTCCGAAGCAGTACCACAACAACAGCAAGAGGCACGCGTCGTGGTAATCTTTGGGATTGACAGCAGTCTAGTAGAGGAATTGAATCAAAGTGTTCAAATCGTCCTTTGTTGCTGCAGTTGCCTTCACAACCATTCCACCAGAGTCTCGCTTTAAGCAGTATCGTTCCAGGACGCCTCCCAGTTTGAGCAGGATGGTTGCCGACTGGTTGCGACATGCAGGGTAGAGCTCCATCAGCCACAGCTTGACATTTCGAAAGTACGATGTCACTGTGTTCCGAGCAAGTAGGCCCCCCTTGTCCGACACAAGAAACGCTAAATACGCTCCAAACTTGTCCATGACGCCCACGAAGGTCGTTCCCGTTTGATCAAGTTGCATACATCGATGAACATAGTCGTAAGTGACGTCTTCACTCTCCACGAAACGCTTGAACGCATTGATGGCAGTCGCTCTGGCGCTCTTCGTACTCGCGGGCTCAAGATCCCTCAGGCTCATTGGGCTTATAATGGGCCAGTTATAGGTTTTTCAGAATGTATGTTTTGTCGGAGGAGTTGGAAATATGTCAGCTATGCGAAAACAGCTTGAATTTTGTATTTACGGATGCATATTTACAAATTTTCTCCGACAAAATATGTCGGAGTTGTCGGAGCAGCTCAATATCGCCAAAAACCTGCACTGATTGGCCTAAAATAGCAGTCTGGATTTATTTGATTGGATATAATGAAAAATACCGTTCATTTATTGGTCAGAATCACGCATACAAACACGAAGTAGTGTCGGAGTAACCGTCATATTCATCCATACTTGTTGAGCACATCCGAGTAGTTTTGCAGCGTCAGTTGGACGTATTTATCCTGCGTTGTGTTTGCGGCCACCTTTACGAAGATGTCGCTGGGAGTAGATTGGGTAGCAGGGTCCCAAGAGAGCTTAACGTTCGTTGGGACAGCATGGTGTTCGGCGACAGCGGTCGTGACGGCATCCATCACAGACGCATGAAGTACCCCAAACGACGTACCAGTCGAGATGGTCAACTCGGTTGGCTTTCCGACACTAGTTCTGCTCTTGCCCAATGACACGCCAACCTTGGTTGCCAATTGACACCGAAAGGAGTCCGGGAACTCGACGTTCAACCGCTCGCCTTGCATGTTGTTTTACGAATGGTGATTGTCAAATTTAATGTCATTACAAGTTTAGCACAGGTGCCAGATTCATGGTTACCCCCCGCATTGGAGTAAAGTAAGCTTACTCTAATGCGGGTGGTAAACCGATAACTTACGAGGGAATTGATTTCTGTTAAAAAATGTTGGTGCGCACACATCAACCAGTTCGATATTTTGAATAACCTCGAAATAAATGGCAAATCACGGTCAATTCCAAATTGAAAAAAGGGTAAAATTGGAGATCTGGTTACCAAATATATGAGATATTTCACAAATTTTGTGATACAATGTGATGGCGGCGTGTCATTATTATTCCATTATGCGCGTGTTCTGCTCAACTTGCAAGGAGTGCGAGGCTTCGACGGACCCAGCGTCGTTCGACGTCACCCTCACGTGCTCCAAATGCAGTGGACCGTGCGTTCAACCTTCCGTCTTTGAATGTGCCCAGTATGGTCTCGTGGACGAACTCAAGTATCTTCTGGAAGAGGTGCACGCCCCCACGTCGTCGCCACAGTTTGTCCTGACCCGTGATGTTCGTGCAGAATGCCGAGACGTCTTCTCCTGTCGACATCAACATGCGCGATGCACATAACGCTACTCTCCTTCACTGGGCGTCGTTGAACAACCGTTTGCTTGTCATGATGTACAACCCCACCATCCATCCTAGCATGTCCATGCTCACCCTGGCTGGATAGGTACTTGCTCGACGTGCCCGGCATCGATGTGAATGCCCTCGGCGGGGATTTGAAATCCACCCCTATTTACTGGGCCTCCCATCGCAACAACATTTACGCGGTGGCGCTGCTTCTTGAGCATGATGCCGACCCAGCGATTGCCGACAAAAACGGCATCAACGCCTTCTTCGTCGCTGTTCAAGTACAAAAGCGTATACATTATTCTACCACACTAACGTGTCTTGAATATGGCAGTCTGGGCACACCATCTTGGCGTCGTACATGATTGCCATGGGCAGCGACGTCGACACCCCCAGCCAAGGTCCCAACGTTCGACTCTTCCATGTCCCACGTCCTTCTTCTTGCATTAGATGCCGACAAGTCGACGCCGTTGATGTGGTTGTGTCGGTACAAGTTTGAGCTGGACACGATGCGCATGCTCATTGGGCTGGGCGCCAACGTCCACGCCGTCGACGGCAATGGTTACACTGGTAATGCCATAATGCATGTCATGCTCATCCTCAACGCCATCGTCCAGCCCACTCGTATCGCATATGCACATTGTCACATATATTTGTAGCCTTGCATTGGGCGGCGGCAAGAGACGTGCCGCTGGCGGCCAAGCACTTGATCGACCTTGGCATCGACCTGCACGCCAAGACCCCCAAAGGAGAAACCGCCCTGGATCTGTCGAACCGTGTCGCATGGGACATCGAGGACGCCTCGCGTGGCAAGCGCACCGCCGCCGCCGTCGGCTTCCTTCGCAAAGTGTATGCTTATGACCAAGCGTACTCGACCTTTCCCCTCTCGGTACATATATCAAGATCGTCCTCCTCGTTGAAACCAGATATGTCCACACAACTGTATTGAATACTTGCGCAGATTCTCAAGCAGCACAGCCAGATGACGGGGTTCTGGACGCCGTGGGTCGTCTTGGGCTTGGGGGGGTACGCCACGCACGCGCTGGACGGACCGTACGTGGTCGCGGGGGTGCTGGCGGCGGTCGCCGTGGGGTACGCGCTGTATTCGGTGGCGGGGCTGGGGGTGAACCCCGGCAAACGAAAGAACGCGAGCCTCATGCTGGGTGTGAACGTGGGATCGACCTTTTGGATCGTTTTTGTTTTCCTGTCGTGCATGGCCGATCGCGTCCCCATTGGTACGATTCTGTTTGAAATGGCGTGGGTTGGAGGTATCCTCGGCTGCTTGTACGTGACCACGACCCGCGACCCTGGCATGCTCCGCACCACCCCCGACGAGCGCCGCCGGGTACGTCGCCGCCGCCGCCGCATCTCGTGTTGTGATGAGCATGCGATAGAACATTCGCGAGTTGGTCGACATGAAGTCTCGGTCCGAGGTCAAGCTGTGCACGACGTGCATCCAGCGCCGGCCGCTGCGGTCGAAGCATGACGCCGAGCTCAACGGCTGCGTCGCCCGCTTCGATCATTTCTGTCCATTCGTTGCCAACGCCGTGGGCGCTGCCAACCACACGTTTTTCCTGGGGTTTTTGGTGTGTGCGGTCGCAGGCATTGGGGGTTTCCTCGGTTTGGCGTATGATTGTACGAGTTTATCTCCATATATTTCATGTTTTGGTTGTGTTTCCGACACTCCACGGGTGTAGATTTGTGCGACGTGGTGCGTGACGATGTCACATATTGGGACATGGCGACCCATCTCACCCACGACTACCCCGTCGTGATCAGCACATGCGTCTTGGCCATCGTCCACTTTACCTGGATCGGCTACCTCCTCGGCGCCAACATCTACGGCGTTCTCTTCGCATGGACGACCAACGAGTGCGTCCTCCAGGGCCGCGTCCGCGTCGACCCTGCCGCGCCCATGGCCCATCACTCCAAGTACTCGCGAGGCATCAAGCAAAACGTGATCGATTTCTTTCATCTTCCCATCGGCCACAACCGCATCGACTGGGCCAAAGTGAGGTTTTACAACCACGCTGACATCCAAGCGTACCAAGACACGACCGACGCACCTCACGAGGAATAACTAGTAGATGATGCAGCCTTTAGTAACAAGATGAAGTATTGTCTAACGGTATCGTCTATGGGAGAGGGGGTTGACAGGGACGGCGAGCGGACGGTGTCGACGTGGAATGACAGCGCATCTTAACGCTGGAAGCTTCATCTCACTGTTCGAGAGACTATATCTCACTACATATCGTCATGCGTGGCGGTCGTGGTGGTATAAAGGTGTGGTGATGACTGAACCATCGGCACGTTTGCTGATTGTTGATGCAGTCTATAGAGGTACATGCGTAGCCTGCCGAGTCTCCATCACGCTTCGCGGTTTACATCATGTTGATTGAACGTCACATGGGTATCCTGATCATCGTACGACGTCTATCCGACTCGTCTGGCGCGTTGCCGCGTTCGGAGGAGGATGGGCATGGGTCATTCGACCAGTCAAAACAATTGCCGCGAAAGTGGTCGTATCCGGATGACATTCAAATTTGAGGCGTTTTATTCAAGTCATTTGGGCCTTTCCTTCCAAGAAACATCATGACGGAAGCAAGGATAGCCTTCTATGGAAGCGATGCGGACGACGACAACAGCCCACGTGGCCATGATGAATCTCCACTGGCCTATGAGACCCTCTCTTCGGTCGAACCGAACAATCGGCCGCCATCGTCCCACCACATGGAGGACCTTGGCGACGACGACGTGGACGAACTCATCAAGCAGAAGCGCAACGAACTGTACCAGATCAAAGCGCGCAAGCTAAAATCCCGCGACAATCTCAGCGGAAACGGATTGAACTTGGACGATTTCGACTTGCTGCCCATGGACGTGTCTCCGATGAAAGGCGCGCAGTCGACGTCGTCGTCGGCGTACTCGACCCCGACCAAGACGTCGCTGACTGAAATCGCCCACCGCGTGGCGTCAAACGAAAAGCAACTGCGATCTGACCGCATGCGACTGACAGAACTCGTGTCGAACGATTCGCAGTACCACCAATCTCGAGCCGAATCTGCCTCCACCCCTCGCAGCCATCGGAGCAGTCCGCGGACCACGCCTAGTCCCAGCCGCCAGAAGCAGCTGCTGAGTCAAAAGGCGATCCACAAGTGGCACCCCGACTCGAAGCGTACGCAGGTCCTGAACCAAGACACGCCGCTGGACATTGGCCTGAGCTCGTCCGAGTACGACGGGCACATCGGGTTTGCGCCGGCCGAGGAAGAGTTCGCCATCACCAGCTCGGCGACGCGACGGCTGAAGGCGCTGGCGATGGAATTGGACTCAGAGACCCACGAAGACGAGGCCGAGGCGGTCGTGCAGCAGGTTCTGGACTTTGGCAAGTACTTGGGCGGCGAAGAGGCGGTCAAGGGTTTCTTCCCAGCTGACGACGACGACGGCAGCGCATTTCACGACCTGCAGCGCAAGATGGACGACATGAACCAGCACTTGGAGCGACTCCAAGAGGAGAAGCGCCTGCTGGAGCGGCAGCAGCAAGAATCTGAACGAAACGCCACCGACATGTCGTCATCTCTGCGTAAGACTGTCGAGTTCGTCCTCGAATGGAATAATCATGCATGACATTCTAGGCATGCTCAGTGCCCAAGTATCTCAGTTTGTGAATGGCGGCAAAGGCAGCGGCAACGGCGCCATGGACCCGCGGGACTTGCATTCGTCCAGCATCCACTACAAGGAAGACTTGATGGACGAAGTACGTTCTTCCAACATGTTTTTGCCCAACTTGTCTCAAATGTATAACGCTATATATGTGTTTGGCTGTAGCTCAAGATGCAGCGCAAGCTCATGGGCGACCTCGAAGTCGAAATCAGTCGGTGGCGACACGACGCCGACATGCTCGAGCAGTCGCGCGTACTTGAGCACCAACAGCACAAGACCCAAGCCCTCCAGATCGCGTCGACCCATCGGGTGCTGGACGAAAAGGTACACCCAACCAAACCATCCTCTCCATGTATATATTGACTCTCCGACTTTTGTATGTAAGATCGTCCAGTATCACACTAATTTCAGTCACACACTAATTCGGTGTTGACTTGGTCGAAGAGTGAATTTGATTGGCTACTTGATTAGTGTTCTGGATTTTGATTGGTCGATATATGGATGATCTGCCGATTTGGTGCTGCTTCGAATCGGCTTGATTCTATTGTCCTTTTACCCAAATTTTTGGACTTTTGTGCTGTTTCGCCAAATCGATCGATTCTTTGTAGTATACTGACTTTTATATGTAGAAATCATCCAATTTCACACTAATTTTAGTCACACAAGAGAGGATTTGATTGGCCACTTGATTCATGTTCTGGGTTTGGATTGGTCGATATAACGATTACCTGCCGGTTTGGTTGTTCTGCTCATTGAGAACCCCACTCCAATCTTGAGAATATATATAAGTATGAATATGAATGCATGTATATATATGCTCACTGTCGCAGGTGGATATGCAACGCGACGCTGTCAAGGCACTACAAGACCAAGCGCGCGAGTGGCAGCACAAGCTCGACAGCATGTGGGACCGCATCCTCGTCGTGGAAGCGCATGTGTTGGACGTCGACAAGCTCGTGGCCGTACGTATCCGTGTCATCCTCGGGCCATCCGATGATGTTGGTGGTGGTGATGTTGACGTGGTAGGCTGCCGCGGCGCCGCCCCGTCGAAGCTGGCTACTGCTTGTCCTTGTCTTCATGGTGTTGTTGTTGATGTATGTCGTTGTGCAAGACGCGGCTGTGGGGGACAAAGTGGTGATCCATCTGTGTGCGTTGATGGGGTACGACTGCCTCACGCCACTCACGTAGAACGCGATAACGTCATTTTTCGAATGAAACGTCAAAGTGTCCCCCAAGTTGTATGACATAATATTTGATGAAAACTAGTATTGTTGTGAGATATATATATGTATTCATATCACGGGAGAAGTCGCCACACGAACGAACGAATCGGTCATATGGAAGTTTTTTCCTTGTTGTGATTACTGCTTTTCCTTGACGGTAAACACTTTGATCTTCAAGATAGCCGTCAAGTCGGTCACGACAAAGTACACCATGTGCACGTACACGGCCACGACGCCAGCACTCACGCCATACAACACGGCTTCTTCGTGGACCTACATTCACACACACACACACTCTCTTGTCAGCAACGAGCTAAGCAACGGCGCTACCACCACCACGCACTGTATGTACCTTGGGAATCACCCCAGCTACCACGAGGCCCACCACGGCGCCAACCAGCACAAACGACTTGCGGACCAACCAGTATGGCTCTTCGCACAAGTGCGCCAACATGATGTGCATGACCATCTACTCGCACCATGATGTTGAGCATAATGATGACGACAGTATGAATACCTTGCATGAGATCAGCCCGATGGTCCACAGGAGCAGGCGCGGGTGGGAGTGGAGGACGTCGGACGGAGAGTAGAGTCCGTAGGCGAGAGACGCAGCTATGAACCCCACGAACGGCGAGAGACGGCCCAGCGCCGCGACAAACTTGGCGGGTGTCACGGCTTGCGACACGTTGAACACGTTGACGAGGCACTGGCCTGCCGCGCCCAAGGCGGTGGCGATCACAAACACGGCGTTGTTGGGAAGCGCGGGGTACAGCACACACGGCTACGGCAGGCAGGATGATGATGGGTTGAGAGAGATGGAAGCAAGGATGGTACCTGGGTCCAGATGGCAGGTCCTAGGACACCCGTGATGGCGTAGATGACGTACATGATGGCCAGGCCTTCGTTGGGTCCGTTAACCAGACCCAAGTCGAGCGAGCCAGTGTAGTATTCCTCCCACGTGGCAAACAGAAACACGCAGGACGGGGCGAGGAGGAGGCCGAGCGACTAGAATGAGCCTCGAGTGAGCGTGTTAGGTAGAAGAGGAGGACCACGCGACGGGGTGTGTACCCAGATCGAAGGGCCCATGAGCATGGTGGATGCCATCGTGCATGCACTGAAGACGACGTTGACCGCGTCGCATCCGTGGTCAAACAAGAGTCCGAGGGGCGACGAATTGCCTGTTTTGCGGGCCTGCTTGCCGTCCGTCACGTCCAGCACTTGGTACCAGAACAAAGCCGCGGCACTGAAAAAGTACGCGGCGGGCGGAGCGACGCCATCCAGAGTCGGTGCGTAGTACGCGAGGATCACGTGCGAGGTCGCGACGAGGGCAAGGCCACCCGTGGTGATCGTGTTGGGAGCGAGCCATGGGGGGAAGAACGTGTCCACGATGCGCTGGGCCAACGGAGAGAGAAAGTAGTTGTACAGCAACGACCTGTCGTTGCCGCTGTACTTGTACTTGGGAAGCTGCGCAGCCCCGCGTGCAGACACGTAATGATGGGCCATCCTCGTCGAAGGTACAAAAGGCAAATGTGAAGATATGATTTGTCAACACACTTTATCCCAATGTCCCATAGTGCAAATCGGAAAATCCCCAACATTCAACGGGTGAAAATGTGTATATAGTGTTTTGCCCACAAAACAATTGGTGTACTAGTATTACCCAATGTGATTATCCCAGTAAGCAATCGCGATGTCGGACATTCGACGGTGGGCTGGCAGTCCTTGTGTCATGGAGTGACTGATTCCTACCATGTAGATATGGCTCCTCTGGCATTCACACGGTGGAAGGCAACGTAGCAGGATCCCTGGCGGCGCAGTTTTCTCGCGAGCGGGAAAAGCAGGAGAAGGAGTTTGCCGAGAAGAAGAAGCAGATCGAAGCGGACAACTCGCGGTCGTCGCACATTGACAAGGCTTTCGAGTCGCATACAGATGCTGCATCGGAAGCGGAATTTAAGCGACAAACCATCGGGTTGGTGTCTGCTGCCGAATACCGTCGACGGCGCGAGAACTGCAACAACCCTGTCGCGGTTGTCGAGGACGATGACCAACCTGCCGCGAAACGCGCAAAGCCGATCAAGAAGAAGAAGTCCAAGCCCATTTCGTTCTCCATGGACAGCGACGACGAGCAAGTGACGGAGAAGCCTGTGATCAAGAAGAAGGCGCTCAAGTGTCCGTTTGTCGAGACAGCGTTCCTTCCAGACAAAGAGCGCGAAGAAGAGATCGCGCGCGAAACAGTCAAACTGACTCAGGAATGGCATGCCGAGCAGGAACGCATCAAGCTACAGAAAGTTGTCGTCGCCTACAGTACGTCCATCCTTCGTCATCACGTTCTCATCCCATGTGGTGGTAGGCTACTGGAATGGCAACGGCCATCGGCGGCACCTCGAGATCACCAAAGGCACGACGATCCGACAGTTCCTCGACACCGTCCGCCAGTCCCTTTCAAAGGACTTCCATGACCTCCGCGGCGTCAGTACCGAGAACCTCATGTACATCAAGGAGGACTTGATCATTCCCCATGTACGTACGACTGATCGAGTGGGAAATATCCCCATGGATCCTAACGAATTCAGCAGCACGTGTCGTTTTACGACATGATTGTGACCCAAGCACGGGGGAAGAGCGGTCCGTTGTTCCATTTCGGCGTCCGCGACGACATCCGCCTGGTCAACGACATCCGCGTCGAACGGGAAGAATCCCATCCCGGCAAAGTCACCCACCGCGCGTGGTACGACAAGAACCGCCACATCTTCCCTGCCAGTCGGTGGGAAACGGTACGTTCCGTTGGGATTTTTCCCCGTCACTCCTTCGTTTTTCGATCCCTCGTGTACTCAATAGTACGATCCCGCGGTGGCGCGCGACGCCCGATACACGACACGAGGCGAATAAACAAGTACAGGACTACCACTATAATGTTCTCAAACCTCTCTGGAGAATACATACATACCCACCCGGAATACGTTAGGCCAATAAACAAGTACAGGACTACCACGATAATGTTCTCGAACCTCTCTGGAGAATACATACATAACCACCCGGAATACGTTAGGCGAATAAACAAGTACAGGACTACCACGATAATGTTCTCGAACCTCTCTGGAGAATACATACATACCCACCCGGAATACGTTAGGCGAATAAACAAGTACAGGACTACCACGATAATGTTCTCAAACCTCTCTGGAGAATACATACATAACCACCCGGAATATGTTATTCGTCGTCCTGTATAGGTAGGTTATTACTTTGTACAGTACAGGAGCTAGCTATTACTCGGAGTAAGTTACAGCAGTACAGTACTATGGAGCATAGCTCAAACGATTCACTAAGGGTAGATACAGGACAACCCAGTGAATGTTAGCAATGTGAAGCGCTGTAGGTACAGGGCAAAGCAGTGTGTATGTAAAGAGCAAAAGGCAATTAAAAAGAACAACGGAAAGCAAGTCCTAATCCTCGTCGTCGGCTTGGATGAA